AATATGATGCGAGTCAGATATTATTCCACTTTGAAAGTCAAATTTGGAGCCGTGTACATCTGTATTTTAATGCGGTTTTCATCTCGTCTGCAGTACTTTAGAAACCCTTCTCTTCATTGCGTCAGGCAGGCAGCGGGCATCGAGGGACCCATCAGGCTGAGCTCAAACACACTCAGTGCATTAGTGTGTCTGAGCTGCCAGCCGCTCCCCCGTGACACCCCCACTCCTTCTCCCTCTCCCTTATGTCAACGCTCATCTCTTACATTTCCATCTTTCCCCCCCCCAAAAAAAGCTCCAATTTACTCACATAACAGCCCTCACATTTCTACCTTTACTTCATAGGACATGTCCCTCCCCTGAAGCATATTAATTCCCCCCCCACCCCTCTTCTTCTCTCACCCTACTTCCTCGCTGCTGCTCTGTTTCTTATGTTCTTGCAGAATTCCTGAGGAAGCCGAGGCTTTGTGCGGTGCTTTCAGGAACTAGTCTGCCTGTTGCATTATTCATCACTCTTAGTCTCCTCTGTGTCAAAGACAGCCCACAGTGCCCAGCTGATACTGAGGGGATATATGAGGCAACGCACAGCTGAGCAAAGGAGCTGATGCAAGGTGAACAAGTAAAGCAGCGCTCTAGACTACAAGCAGTCACTCCAAAGGGACTGAAAGAGGGAGGACACACAGTAATCATACCCATCTTTACCGGCAGATAGACTTCCTGACTGACAACTAAAAGCTGTCAAAAGTATCTTTCCAAACCGAATGTCCCAATTCCAATCTGCATGACAATCATTTTTGAACGATAAGTAATATGTTTATTTACACTGAAAGCTGACAAACGTCTTATGATGCGACTATGCCGTTATGTTGTGTGCGGTTTCACCTCTGAAATTCATTTCAAAAATAATATCAAGGAGCAACATGCACCTGGAATAACATAAAACGTAAGTGGACAATGTTAGGTCAGCGCCAGGAAGATTTTGGAGAGCAGATTAAGCTCATACTTGGTGAGAATTGACAATAATAACCAGTATAACCTATACAATTTACGAGTTTTTAATCCCCCACCCCTAGATGTATACACACAGTATACACAGTGTACACAGTATACATGGTGTTTGTGTTTATGTGTGTGATGACTTGTTGCAGAATGATACGGGATGTGAGTGTTTGCAAAATAGCAACTTACCGAGTTGGATGGCGCACCAAGGTTGGTCTCGATGTAGGTCTCGGTTTTAGGTTCCACCGCCTGCTCAGCCTCCAGGATCTTCTCCACGGGCATGTCCTCGTTGGCGCAGCCGGTGGACTCCACCTCGTTCTCATTTCTCTCCTTGGCTCGCTGGCGCTCCTCCTGAACGGCTGCATGTAACAAAACTGGTTCCGGTCACTACTGCTGTTTTTTGTTTTGTTCTTAATACAATGTCAGCATGCATGTGTGTGTTAAAGGAAAGACTCAGGGTTGAAGGCTTACAGAGTTGCCATTACTCAGCAAGGTTTTAAAGATCTTAAAAGGGTTTTCTAGGAAAATGACTCCATACTGTACAAGTAAAGTAGCTGCATTGCTTTCTATCGCTATTCCTTGGTTCTTTTAGCTTACTGTTTTGGTTTATACACATTTAAATGTTGTTTTATCTCATGCAGCAGCAGTCAGAATTTGTCAGCAAACATCTTAAAAAATCAATTCAATTTGTCAATTATTTGCAAAGATAAAAAATTATCTGCCAATCTGTCAATGCAGGGAGGTTGTGCCACCAATTTCGAAATCAACTTAAAAAAAATACTTTACTAAAATAAATGATGCAAAATGTATCTGACATTGAATGTCTTGATAAGGCAGATTTATTTTGTTATGCAATGTAGTTGTAGATGGAACTGCTTTCGACACTGAATCTTTCCTCCGTTTAAACACTTGAACTCTGAACAAACAAATTGTTCATAGTCTAGTTTGCCCTTATTTGTATTTACACACACAAACTTGTACATACAATATGTGTGTGCATGCTTGAGTGAGTATTCCCTTGTCTGTGTCAAGTCTGCATGTGTGAGTGCCTGCTTTGTGTCTCGGAAAGCCAGATAAAAGTGCATGACCCTGTATGCGTTATGCCAGTAAACATATCCAAGAGAGTTCAATCATCAAGTATTCCTTTGACAGTGCGGATGGAATTTATTAATGACCTTAGACCAACATTATGTGTAACACAGTAGCATGGAAATGTTCAAGAGCTTCTCGTAGCCTCCTTATCAAAGAGATGTGTTTTTTATGTAGTGCTCGATGACAAACAGCTGGATTATTTTATATACAAATCATTTATGGACACATAAATAATATATGGTCTGTCACTGCTTCTTTAAGACATGCGTGGTAGCCAGAATAGCTTGGATAAAAAAAGAGCATGAGTCAATGAAGACTGTGTCTCGTAGTTCCTTTTTTAGTTTTTCGTGTTGTGTGTAAAAGCGGGTTAAAGCACAACTTGGTTCTGTCGTGTGATTGGCTTGGCGAGGAGACACAGGAAGTGGTTTGTGTGCTGTGCAGACACCAGCTCACTGCGGCTGAGTCAAGAGAAACCGCACGTCCACCCTCAAGTGAGGATGGAAAAGACGCCTGTGTGTGTGTGTGTGTGTTTTGTGTTTTCAAAAGCTATCATTTACCTAATTCAAGACACCGCAAGGAAAGTGCTGTGGCTTTTTTATACGTTTATCCTCCACTCATGAATTAATGTGAAACACTTTTGATGATTAAGCGCTTTTGGAGAGTCAACGTTAGGATGCACACACACACACACACACACACACACACACACACACACACACACACACACACACACACACACACACACACACACACACACACACACACACACACACACACACACACACACACACACACACACACACACACACACACACACACACACACACACACACACACACACACACAGGATGCTAATTTGACTTGCCAGGAAGGAAATAGTGAGATTCGCCTGAGTTGGTCCCTGGACATGAATCTAAAGACAGTAGGGAGCGTGCAGAGCAATCAAGTGATAAAGCTTATTATCTGAGAGGAGCTATATTCTAAGACGTATTATCTACCAGGAGTTAAATGACTTTCAGGTCCTCAAAGGCCTGATGGCCTGGTTTGACTCTGCAGGAGGGAGAAACGAGAGGAAGGAGAGGGGAGCACAAGGAGGGAGGAAGAGAGGAAGAAGCAGGTGATGGAGAAGGGGGATGATGGAGAAGAAAGAAACAGAGGAGAGGAAACAGGAGGAGAGAGAAAACCAGATGTGCGGAGAGGGGGAACAGCTGTAAAACGATGAGGACGAAAACAGAGATGAGGAGAAAAGGAGAAGTTTGAAGACGGGAGAACGGAGAAGGTGATTCATGGAGGTGGGCGGACACGTTCCTGTCTTTTTGTAACTGCTGGGCAACCCATTTTTGGGATAGGATGGTACTTCATAAAGCTGCAGAGAGATGCATGGTAGTTCTAAAAGTTAACCTCTATAGATACTGTAGTTGATTGCCTTGTACACGACACATGTTGGCATAGCAACAATATACATATATTTTGACTTTTTGCGTGGAGCTAACAGCAGCAAGTTTGTAATGTAGCTCGACTCGAGAAAAGGTTTCCCTCTGCATGATATCATGTAACAGGTGATCATACAAACAAATTACAATGATCATGTAAATAACATTTGTAATACATTCCTAAAATGTGGCCTAATGATTTCAAAATAAATAGAGAAAGAAGGAGACGTTAGGTCTAGCTAGCAAACGTTAGCTTGTCTTCAGACTTGTCACTAGCAATGCAGCTTCAGCAATGAGGATCTCCAAATTGCCAATTACACGGAAAGGTGTTGCTTTGAGGTGACGTCCAGCTGAAACGATGCCGGCGCAGGTCACCTTTAATTCAAAGTCACTGCAAGATAAAGATTAGTTGGTCAGTTTCCCATGCTGCATGTCTGCAATGTCACCGGAACACACCTGGCTGCAGACCCACGGAGCCGCTGTGGAAACAATGAGAGCCAGTTCAGAGGAACATCGTCAGGCACCGTTTCCTCTCCTTCAGTGTTCCTTTTTAGGAAAGAAAACAATTATTTTCAGTCTAGCAAGTGTTCAATTGTATCTCTACTTAAGTGTGTTTCAATTTCCATCTGTGTGTAACATTGCATATGTTCCTCTATAGTGTATCAGTTGAAAACTTTTGCAAACATTCTGTCAAGTGGAAACGTTGGATTTGTGCCTTCACAAATTACAGTAAAAAAAGATATACTTCCCATTTATTTTCTATTTTATTGACTCCTTATGTGCCTCTGTCCTTCACAGTATGATTAGTGTATAGTGTGTGTGTATAATCAAACAGATTTTAAGTGGTAATCAGCAGTTTAAGCATCAATGAAAGCATGGTTGATCGTTGTATCCACAGCCTGAATCAGATAGAAGTTAATACATACTTCCCCATCAGTGTTTTTGTTTCCAAACTCCAACATTTATAGTTCCATAATTAAGGTTATCGCTAAGATTTGAAACAAAGGGGCCTAAAGTGATTCCATACTTAACCACCGCTAAATGTTCAAATACAGAGTGAGCAAGCTGCTGTATTTAGCCATCCAGAAGCCCATTACTGGAGGATCGCTCCCAGCCTAAAGAGTGCTAATGAGCACACTGTGCACCAGTGTTAACCCAGGCCCTCTTTAAACATACAATATTGACAAAGCTAATACAACGTTTGTCCTGTGGAGTGCATAGCTGAGTGTTATTCCATGTAAATGAACACTCTTCTGACTCTAAGGTTAATTTATTTTATTAGCATTAACTGCCTTAAAAGCTACTCATTCAGAAAATACATTATAGGATTCAGAAGAGTTTAAAAGGAATGAAAGAAATAGTCACCTACCAAGTGCAGCAGAGCAGCTACAGCTACTGCTCTTATTGTTTGTATCGGCTCGTTATGATCAACAGAATACTTTTTAAAACAAGATAAGACACAAAACTACGACAAACTGCTCTGGTTGATTAAGATTATTCTTTATTATGAAGTGCCACAAAATGCTTTGTGTTCATTGTGCTTACATTGTCTGAATTCTGGCTCAAAAAAAACCCAGGAGGTCTCCTCTCTGCAACAGAGAGCCAAACCCCCCGAGATAAGGTGTGTTAGATATCGCTATACAGCAGTACAAATGTCTCAATCCAAAGGATTCTTTACAAACCCATTTGCAATAAATGATTATTTAGGTTATCATCATTCTTTAACTTGGAAATACAAAAAAATAAGAGAGGTCAAGCTAGTACAAGGTTTTTAATTCTTCTCTACCTGAATTCTAGTTAGTTTCATTGTGCTACTTTCTTTAAGGTGGAGATGAGTAGAATGGAAGTGCTTATAGAGGACAGACCTGGAGCTCGCCCAGAGACAGACGCACACGCAGCTTTCCTGCTTCAAAACCGGCACAAACAGCCGCCCAACAACATCTCAACAAATACCCTTAAGACATTTAGACTGCAGTGCAAAGTTTCAAAGAGTTTTTTCATACACAAAGATACGATTAATGGTACATAAACAGCAGCGGGAGACATCGCTGCCAGAGAGCCCATCAGTGGTTTCTGTAACAACGTCGTACCCTAAACACTTTGATCTGTAACGACAACAGGAACTGTCCTATCGCTTTTCTTGCTCGCATCGAGATTCAATAAAAAAACTATTTTAAAGTCAGCAGTTAAAATAAAAACCATATTATTCGTTATATCTCTAAGATGTTTTCAGAGAAATAAAGGTAATGCTGTTTTCTTTGCATATACTGTGCCGTACTCAGGCTTTTTAATATACAAATGAACTTGTGTTATTTATTATGAGAATTTGGACAAGTCTGAAAAATCACTGATAACGAGACAAATGCCCGCCCTAAGAAGTTAAAGCTCTATGACTAAATGTCTGATACAATTCAAGTGATTGCAGCTGAAATCAGGCAGAGAGATAAGAGACCTGTAGTTTGCTGACTCACACTCTCACTGTTTCTATCACAACAGAAACCGCCTCTTTCTCATTGACTTCTTACAATCAAATACTTCTTTGTGAAAGACTTAAAGATCCTATTGTCTCCAGCAACACAAGCCTTTCAATGCAAAATGTTTACTTCTCACTTCAGAGCAGATCTGTCCACCTTTGATGTCACACAGGTCCAATAACTTTATCTCTGGGATGTTAATTAAATTAGGTAATGGGTCCATGTATCAGTGCAGACTCTCCTTTTGTCCCTAAAACCCTAAATGGTGTTGGATATCAATCAACTCCATCTCTAATTGAGTAATCTTATGCCTGAGGAAGCACTGTAATCATCAAAACTTCCTCTGTCAGAGATTCACATTTAAATATTAAACCCATTTTCTTTTCAATTGTTGGAAGATTGACTGTAGACACAAATTCTCCCCGTGTGTTTCTCATCAAAGCTCCAAAGCAGGCACTGTGTGCTCTCATGTGTGGGCATGCAAAGTTACAATGATAAATATGGCATTTAAAACAAGCACTTGATGTTTTGTGCAGACCTTTGTCCTTAGTCTGTCTCTCAGGAAGCTCCAGGGATCTGTAGAAAATGTTTTTGAGCTGCAGAGAACTGGGTTCAGCAACACTGGTATTGGCCGCCTAAATAAAAGGTTAAACCATCTATGGGTTGGGGTGGATTAGAGTTAGCCTGTCTGTAGGTAAATCGCTCATAGAGTTAGCCCATGGTCGGCCCAGTAGGGCTAAATGGGGCCTACTGCAGAATAATCGTTGCCAAATGTATCTGTCGGACTGTAACGGTTGAACCTTCCAGCTAAAGTGCATGCTTTCTCTGCGGTTGAAGAATGCACGCTTTATGGTTTGGAAGTGCACTGGAAGGCTAGTTGAATAATGCATTGCATTTCAAGTTGACCTCGGTCCAACTTCAACAATGCGCCAAACTCGGATTTCAATTGAAGGAATACTGAGTTGCTACAGTACGAGCACTATACCTGCTATCATTTTGGTAACCATTGTGATATTAAAAGATCTATTAAAGCCCATTATTATTTGGCTGCATGACACAGAACATTTGTTTTATGCCGTTTTAACATCTGCGTACCTTTTAATAATCTGTTGAATGTCCAATGATCCAGTCCGACTAAACTTGTCAAGCTTAATCCAAGATACTGTTAGCAGCCTTATGTGATGCTAGAGTTAGTTTAGCATAGGTCTGACGGTTTAGAGTTAGCCTAGCAAAGTTCTAACAGGGTTAGCGTTAGCCTAGCACAGGTCTGACAGGTTAGAGTTAGCCTAGCACAGGTCTGACAGGGTTAGCTTTAACGTAGCACAGGTCTGACAGGTTAGAGTTAGCCTAGCACAGGTCTGACAGGTTAGCGTTAGCCTAGCACAGTTCTGACTGGTTACAGTTAGCCTAGCACAGGTCTGACAGGGTTAGAGTTAGCTTAGCATAGTTCTGACAGGGTTTTAGTTATCCCACAATAGGCCCACACCCAGCAGGCAGCTGACCCCAGCCTCTCTAGCCTACATCCTACGTTAGTTCTACTCACTAAGAGGCAGGCAGTGCATAACAAGAGAGGAAAGACAGGACTTTTCTTTTTGTTACTCTAACACTACATTGGCATGTTCCCTGATGTCTGTAATATTAGTTTTTTTCTTCTGTTTATGACTATAGGTGAAGTAAGACATACCTGATTTTTAAACTGCTATACAGTAGTAGGTAATACTTCATAACTTCATCATAAAATACCATGCATTAGGTGATTATTGCTTTTAAAGAGTCCTACTGAGGCTCCAAGAGAAAACATATTGCCCTCACGCTCTATTTATAGGAATTTGGCAAAAAAATCATAAGCTTTTTATGACGTTGGCATAGATTTCATAATTTTTTTGCATGCAATAACATTAGTACGAAAAGAAAAAAAAGGTAAACAACATAATAAGAAAAAATAGTACTTAAAAAAGTGACATATGCTTTGGCCTGTAGTGATAAAAGAGGTTGGCAAATATCCTACATACATATACAGAAATTAAAGTGCAACAAATAAGTTAACGCTATCACTTCAATGTGATTCAATCAAGTATAAAGATATAACAAATACAAAATCATGTTCAAATAAATAAGTAAATAAATAAATAGTTTTTACCTCAGTAGTGGAGAGAATATGGTCACTTGGTGCAGCAGAACATTATTATTATCATTATTATTACTATTATTATTACTATTATTCCCCAAAAAACAAAATGGGAAGGAGAAAACCTCTTTCACTGCGTCTCAGTGCAGGTAACCATGGAGATATAGGCTTATTATTGTCTGTCGTCCTCATCAGTGTCCCAAAGTCTATGTATCTAGATGCCAGAAGGAAGCCGTGTTAGTATTATTGTCTCCATCCAGAACGGACAGAGGAAGAGGAGGTGAAGAGTTTTTGAGGAAGTGCATGCGTCGATCAGTTAAATCCTTAAGTGGACAAATCTCAAGGAGAAAAATTGTGCTATCATCATGAATAGGCTCCGTTAGAGAGGAGGAGGAGGAGGGAAGCAAGGTCATATTCTGACCAAAAATAGATTGTTTGTGTCTGCAGTTCAGTCTGTAAGGATAATGGTAATCTATGTCTGCAGTTTGTGTTTTATCTATGCAGGGGGTCATGCATCGAGGGGGCCGAGAGGAGAGTAGGGGCCTTTGAAGCAAGCGGACTCGTAGTGCTTGTTCAGATAACTCTTGAGCGCGAAGGTCTTGTCGCAGCGTTTACACTTGAAGTGCTTGAAGGCCGAGTGGGTCTGCATGTGAGCGCGCAGGTTGGAGCGGTCGGCGAAGGCCTTCCCGCAGTGGGCGCATCCGAACGGCTTCTCGCCCGTGTGAGAGCGCATGTGGCCCTGTAAAAGCCACGGCCGACTGAAGGCTTTCCCACACACGTCACACTTGTGCTTGAGGTCGTGAGTGAGCAGGTGCATGGCCATGGCGGGCATGGACACGTACACCTTCGCGCAGGTCGGACATTTCTTCGCCATCTTGCTGTCCAGCGAGCGGTGTGTCTGTTTGTGCCGGCTTAGGTTGGAAGACGTGGCGTAGGTTTTGCCGCACTCGTTGCAGCTGTGCCTCTGGATGGTCCGGGGGCTGCTGATGGCTTTCCTCCTCGAGCGGCCATCGCTGATGAAGAAGGCGTCGACTGAGTAACCGTCGCTCACCGCAGCGTCCCCGTTGATGTAGCTGTCAGTGATTTCTGAGCTTGGACTGTCAGGGGACTCGGAGTCAGGGGCCCCGTATTCACTGTGGACCCCGTCGTAGGGGGGCTCAGGGGAGGGCACCTTGAGCCCGCCGTCACTCTCACCATCGTACACGACGGGGCTGATGTAGTCACTGATGTAACCAGCTGCCATGGAAGAAAGAAAACAGTGAGAGGTTATAGAAATTAAAGGAGACATATGAGTAACATTTTCATGTGGTTATAATTTTTTTTATAGAGCAAGCAGCAATGTTTCTCACACTGTCCTTCTAAATAAATCAGTTTTAACTCTTTGTGTAAATTGCCCCATTAAAGTGCGGTAAAGCCACCCCTCCCAAAAATGCCCGGTGTGCTCTAATTGGCTTGCTATAAAGATAACTGCACCTTTGGAAAGGTGATTCTTAGACTGGGTGGAGAAACTCAAATTAGGGGTGCTATATTTTAATGAACCTGCATGTGACATGGGGAGCCACATCTTGTTGAATCATATGTTGTCCGACTGTGGCAGCCCACATAAAACACACACAAGTTGTTATGACATGTACATTTAAAAAGAAAAACAACATAAAAGCTGTTTATAGTGAAACATGGCAATGGAAACAAAGACGTAGGGCAGGGGTCGGCAACCCCTGGCACGCGTGCCAGCATTGGCACGCGGCACCGTAACCAGTGGCACACTAGGAATAAGTGGAATAAGTGTGCAAAAATATTTAAATTGTATTTTCGGATCCTGAACGAGACCGCCGCCAGAGCGCGTCTCCCCGTTACCTGCAGAAGGAAGCCATGCACGCAACGCAGCCCCGCTCTCTTTAACTCCAGGTGACTTTCTGCCGCTTTCCTCCGTGGTGCAGTGCTGATCGTTTCACCACGGAGGAAAGCACTTCACTAATTGCAGTACCCATAAGGAGCTGTACAAATGCCGCAGTTTTTGCGTGGCTGTGTATTTAGTTGAAAGCCCANGTCCCCGATCAGGCCTAAAGTATGGAGTGTGGACTGCTACTTGGAGAGGTCCCAGTTCACCTCCTGCCCTGCCGTGGTGCCCTAGAGCAAGGCACCGGAGTCCGGTGCCTTGCTCTAGGGCACCACGGCAGGGCAGGAGGTGAACTGGGACCTCTCCAAGTAGCAGTCCACACTCCATACTTTAGGCCTGATCGGGGACTTGAACCGGCGACCCTACAGCTCCCAGTCCAAGCCCCTACTGACTGAGCCACTGCCGATTAGCAGAAAAGGTGGAATTATTTTTAGAATATCTTAATTCTTTGATTCTCTTTAATTCTTCGAATTCTCTTCCTTATTCATTTAAGCTGAATCTCCCGATCCACCTGAGTTGATGGCAGGTTATTCAGATCACCTGTTGGCTGCTAATTAATAACTGAGAGCAGCTGGGTGCATTCCCCTCTCGGCCAATCAGAGTGTGACTGGCACACTGATCCTTCTTCCACTTAATGCAAAACCCATTTAAATTGTCATACCGAAACTCTGACATGTAGGCCCTTTCTAAGTCTTCTTTGTGGTATTAGGTTTTCTGATTGAGGGTCATTATAAGCTTCCCTAAAATCTAGCTGGAGTCTATATGAAACAAAAAAATGTCCACTAGTTGAACTAATTTATAAATTCTTGCCTCATACAGGTTATGACCATAACTTTAACATCTGAAGGGTTTATTATGTTATCTTTTGTATTTTGGTTTATTTTTGTACAGAAAACCCCCTTCACACACTACAGAGTGCCACAGTGACGCATCGTAAAACCCGGAAGTAAACTATTTCTGGTTCCTTCGACAAAAACGTAATGCAATTTCTCCATAGGATTTTGGAAAATAGCTCGAAATAAGGTCTGTGGTTGACACACATTTAAGAGACGGATCACGTTTTGTTCAGCCGGATAATCTACCTTACTTTTATAATTTTCTAATCATAAATCTAGTCACCAGAAGCAAAATGCTAACGCGTTATGCTATAAACGAACTACAGCAGGGTCGCTGCTTCAACCTCACGCCAACTTAAGATCCATATTCAAAACTACAGATTCAAAATTGTACAAGTTGAAGCGTTTGTTTTAACAGTTTGCAGGAGGCAGGTACTTGCTTTCAAGCAGAACACGGGGAAAAACAAACTTAGCGGGAGAAATTGCATTGCGTTTTTTGTCGAAGGAACCGGAAGTGGTAAAATGTTAACTTACTTCCGGGTTTTAGGAAGTGTGGCACTCTATTCCTCATTATTGTAGAGGTATCTCTTCAATATCATTAAAAGGGTATTTTTCATCGTGAAAGCAATTGTGAGATTTGTTTCTCCAAGAAAATATACTATATATATGTTTATGTTGTTTGAAAATGGATCAAGGTTAATTTGTAGTGCTTTAAAAAACAATGACAGCCTTTAAATATATTCTAAAACGGTTATTAAAAAGCCAAGAACATATGAATAAAACATGCTTGAATTGATTAAGACAGGTATAAAATAACAAGAATAAAAGCTACAGTGCTGTCATTACTGCCACATATTTTCATTAAATGGACATTTTTGCACAATGTCCTACAATTCAAGACATTTCTAAGGGTTTGAGCATGCTTTCACTGCAAAAGTACATGTAGAACATTCACCACTGAGAACTATTTAGCTCCTGAAGTGAAGAGAGGTTTCTCTAAAAGCATACGCCTTACATAACAGGCTTTAAAATAAAAGATACTGTATGTCCATGTACGAGTGAGCCTGTCTTCAATCTTTTATGCTCATCTCTTTTCAAGGCTTAATAGATCTAATGTAGTGAAATCAATGAAAGATTTTAGCGCTGTCCTTGGTTCACCTTTTATTTCACAGAGCTATTAGTCACTGATACTATTTTGGGAAGTAAATTGCCAATTTCCATTGACGTCCATTAATAAGAACTCCTCGTTTTTCCTTTTATCATTTATCAAAATCACATGAGAACAATTATTTTGGGACCGTATTAAAAACATGGAAATATATGAATAGAACCTCTGCAATGAATTCATCTATTCGCCTTCTGACCAATAATGATGTTTTAGGCATGTGACCTGGAGAATAATCACATAACTAGACGTTTTAATGTGAGTAAATATGGATAATCCTTATGCACAATCATTTTCTGTGTTTTCTAAAGGCCTACCCAGCCTGATAACAAAGCCCCAAGTGAGCTCCTAAGAGCTTGTTATGTAGTGAAGTGTCAGTGGAGTGTCAGGGAGGGGGGCCTCTTGAGCTACGCTAGCTGTCCGAAAGGCTGATTTGTGTGTCGACTAAAAAGGTCCCTAAAGAAAAAGCCTGCTTGGTTTTTTTTCACGGCAAGCTCTCTGCGGGTATTTCCTCCACGAGCTGGGACAGAATCAATGTTTGTTTTTGTCTTCCTACTTGCTCCTCTTAACGTGATATGTGAGTGTGTTGATAGGTGGTTAAACCTGACACCAGGCTCTCAGCCAAGAAAAAGACACACAGGCTAAAACTAGGATATCATTTGTTTTGTGCTATATTTCTAACTTCAGGATTTGTATGTGCTTTTGTTGTTTCTGCAGCCCAACGACCCGGTAACAAACATCTGTCAGGCGGCAGACAAGCAGCTCTTTACTTTGGTGGAGTGGGCCAAGAGGATCCCACACTTCTCTGAGCTGCCACTCGACGACCAGGTCATCCTCCTACGAGCAGGTTGGTCAAAAAGGGCCAATAAAAAGGTCATAAAAAAGCAGAAAACGTTCCTCAAATGCAGGCCGAATGTGTTGTGCTTGAATAAATCACCAAACAAATAATGACAATAAATGAAAATAAGGGATTTTATTCCATTAAAACCCCTCCAGTTACAGTAGAAACTCTGGTAAATGCTCCAAAACCACTTGGATTTAGCATCTTTTGGACATAATAAGAATATGTCCAATTTAGCTAAGTTGTAAAATAAATGAGAAACTGTTCTAAATAATATGAAACACCTTGTCTTGAACCAAGTATACAACTCTAAACCGCTAGCATACAGCTCCAATTAAGTATTTGACAGCATGCTAACAGCTAACTAGATACATACGATGCTGTTAAGTGCTAGCTAAATAACTATTGTGTTTCCTTGGTTAAAATAACAGGGCGTTTCATTTCTAGGATTCTGAACAGCAGTTAATACCCTCTGGTGATAGAATATAGATTTAAAAAGAAAACTGTCTATGAAAAGTAGCCGATGAAAGAAATTAGAAAACTGTGAAATAAAGATGCTAAGGCTAGCTGTAGCCTATTTCGGTAGAATAAATTCACCAACCAGGCCACAACCATGACATAATTCCAGGTCATGTGACTGAGATGAGAGTCAGACCCACCAAGGTCACAACAGCTCATAGTGAGTTTAGTTTAGTTTTTATTAGGATCCCCATTAGCACTAGCATGAGCATTGGCTATTCTTCCTGGGGTCCTCACCCACACAAAACATACATAATACAAACCAGAACAGAACAACTCATCATTTCATGAAAAGTGCATGGTAAGGAAGTGAAAGCAAAAACAAAACAGAAAAAAATAGTCATCACATTTTAGCCATCATCAAGTCAAAACCTAAACAAAATTTTACCAACAATATAATTTACATGATAATACTAATTACTAATTACTAATTGACCCACAAGTACAGTTCAAATTTAATTTGTAGTTCTCAGATATTGTTTTAGCAAATGTTTGAAATGTATGTTTGAGTTGTCTTGAATGATATGGACCGGTATGTGCTATAGCCTATATGGGAAAGTATGCTAACCGTTCACGATCAAAGTGACAGCCACGTAAAACATGGAGTGAATTATCTGTCACTTTTCTTCGATTCACTAACAAGAAATGAGGTCTTTTGGTTTCTTTCAACACATTGTCCTTGTTGCCTGCCTGTCGCTCCAAATTACACCATTATATTCTAAATCCACCTTGAGGAAAACAATTCTATTACACAGCCTGTCCCGCATTCTAATAAAAAAATCCTTATCCTTAGCGCAGACAATGATGGAGAGACATTATTCTGGAGAGCTTGTCTCTTTCTCGGCTCTCAGGTTTTCTATAAATAACTGCTTTAGTTCTGCTGTATCACAGATAAAAGCATCCCGGCTCCTCTCATACCCGACTCAACTCTGGGGAGAAGAGGCGAGTGTTGCCAGGCAGAACAGTTAAAGGAGCCCTGTCA